AAAGGTGAAGCATGCATGGTAAAGCACCCTGGCCCTCATAAACCACCAGACAATGCCATGAGTGTCTCTTCTCCATTTGACTCTCCATTGTTACCATAGAATCCCTATATCGCCCTATACAATCCCTGCGCGATCCTTTGTCTTGTGTCTTACACGGCCGCTGCGCAGCCACAACCACTTGGTCAACGCTCGATCAGCATGCGTAAACAGAATATGTCCGGCTTGTCGGCTGTGATCTAGCCCCCCCCCACCTGTGGATCCCCTCATCTATGGCTTTTCTTTGAATGAGCCAGGTTCAGATGACTGTCTGCCCATGCCTTTCGGTCATGATTTTGCAGGTTTGCATTGAAAGATTGGCATGCAAACCTACATGCCTGTTTTTCTGGCAAGCTTAGCAGACAGTATTGCTCATTACTATAGACCTACAAGTTGATCTTTAGAACCGGAGCGAAACCTCCAACTTTTTTGGCGGGCGGTTCCTGTTGTCGACAGCTTACCCACAAAAAGCAGCTGTAGAGTCGCTGACCCTCTCCCCCAACTCGAAAGCTGCGACGCTACAGCTGCTTACTCTGAGTAAGCAGACGACAATGCGAAAGCGTGCCAAAAACAACAGCTGCTTCCTCCGAGCAAGCTGTCGCCAACACGAAAAATTGCCAAACACACTGCAGGTTCTGCTCCGCTTTGCTAAGAAATCGGCGCGTAGGTCTAGTGACAATACTGTCTGCTGTGCTTGCCAGAAGAAATTGGCGTGCAGGGCTACCAATGCTGTCCCCTATGCTTGCGAGAATGCTACTCTGAGACTGCTTGAACATCGGCACGCCAATCCTTGAATGCAAGCCTGCAAAATCATGACCGAAAACCCGGCTCATTAAGAAGCCCCCCAAACCACCTTCAAATCTCCGATGTCCATAGCCCAGGAGACTATATAGGTAAACTAAAATTCACGCAAACTCCAAGGAGCTAGCTTTCGTGATTTTGAACTGCTCAAGAATGCGAGATGCAAGAGTAACCCAGTTAGCCAGCCAGATCCAGCCAGTCAGCGGGGCATAGCTAGGCATAGCCAGGCTGTGCGCAGAAACAAAAACACCAAATTCGTTGGCAAGCGCATGGCGGGCCAAGCCAGCGGTGACCCCAAATCTTCCTAGAATCCGAGAACCCTGAATGCTAATTAATTCTTAACCCAGAACCGAGGCCTTCCAAGCCATCTCTTATCCTCTCTAACCCTAAACGTGCTGATCTTCATCATCCTGAAGTTGACACCCCACCTCTATTCCATTTCACAGCTCATAGATCCCGCCCGGGCTTCGGGGGCACAGGATCGAAGACTGTGAGGTATGGATGCCCGTGCCTGGCGGATCCCTACATCCAGCCATGCTTCCACAGATACGCCACGGTGCAGGATGGAGCCTGCCTAGACTCCTAGACATTCTATGAGGCTATGCTTGGGCATGCTTGGGCTGTGGCTTTTTCGCTGCATTTGTCTTCGTTTTGGTTGGAAGGCCGGAAACCTCATAGGTGAGAAACCGTCCCAGGTGATGCTGATGGTGGCTAACATGAATGCGCCTCCTGGCCAGCGCGGCCTTGGCAAAAGTTATAATGAAATCATCAAGGGTGCGCTATGACGACTCAGGGGGCAGGGGGCCCAAAACTCTGAAACCTTGAACGACAAACTCAAATGTCCGTCTCCTGGCGGTTTGATTTGCTGCATTTCTACTTCCAGCTTCCGCAAGTTTCCAAGTGATGTCAGTGAGTCAGCCAGCTTGCCATGGAAAGCGGGTAACCCTTGGCATCGCGCCTGCTTTCATCCCTGCGAATATCCAGCGCAAACGTTCTCATGAGAGCATCCTGGGATATCCTGGAACTCCCTTGCGTGCTTACAGCACATCGCTCATCCCTGGAGGCTAGCAGCCAACTACTAGCATATAATGTGAAAAGAGTAGGACGGCAAAAATAAAATGGATCCACTGAAGTCAGAAACCATGTTTTTCAGTTATCTGGGGTCGCCGTGAAACCGGCAGACTTGTGGGAGATGCCATTCTTTGGCATAATTCGGTTTACTGTCTCGTTCCTGTCCACTCGCCGCTTTTGCCATTAAGGATACATATCTGAATTTGGCTGGTGCGCGCACCTGCCGGTCGCTGCTTCCACTTTCCGCACATCTACATCATTCATCTTTGGTATAGAGACCTTTTGTGAAACTGAACGGGAAGTCCAATGTTTTCTTCGATGCTAGCATCCAGGAGGATTTGCTTCAACAGCGCAACCAGTTCAAAATGGAAGGAGGTTAGGCTCCAGAATTTACAACTTGAACATGCTTTATCGTTACTTGGATCTTCTCAGATTCTCAGAGCAAGCTGCATAATGCGGACCCTGCCCACTAGAAAGCAAAACTTCCGTCCATTCAACAGCCAAGCTCAAGAAGGCTTGATTCCGAATTCCGGAATATGTCGGAATTGCAACCACGACACCAGCTCCGAGGCCGGGAAGGCCTCGCCTGCCCGGGACACAAAGCACACGCTGTCTTGGTGCCATGATCCTTCGGCATGGCCAATGGCGCTTTTCTGCCCTATTGAACGGAAAAGCAGGCTGCACTCAGATCTTGTGAGTCGTTCCCTTGACCTGCACCCGTCAACTCTCAAGCCGCGCCACCTGACCCTGCTGGCAAGGGCGTGAGCATGGTCGAAAGTGGCGGGGCTGCCGGCGCTGGCATCGTGGCAATTCGTCTTGCCTAATCAGGCCCAAAGGAAGTGCGTCTAGGAAGCCTCTACCATCTGTGCAAAGCTGCAAGGGATCACCAAAAGCCAGTCAAGGTGCTGCAATCCGAGCAACTGAGGCACGCATGCTGCAAGCCAAAAGTCCAGAAGCAACAACCATCGCTTATTGTCACTGTTCCGTGAAGCAGCAACCCGGGCAACTGTAACATGCATTTGAAACTGCATTTGCGCCATTTTTCAACTAAAAATCATTGCTTGCTACTGACTCCATCTCGCAACTGCGAAGGAGCTGCGCAGCATCTCTTCTCATTTGAAGACGCGACCAGGACAAATGGAATCCGCTTTCTTTCGGCATATCTACCCCATATCTACCCCTTCTTCTTCTACGCTAAGCCCTCCCCTCATCGAAGACAGGGGTTACAGGCGCAGCGTGCATCCTCTCTCCAGTCAGGCTCGCGGCTCGCGGCTCGCGAGGCGCGGAGAGGCCCGGACTACCGGGGTGTCGTTGCTTCTTTTGGCATGGGCTTACAGCTTACATGGCAGTGGCGCAAAGCGCCGGGCGTTAAGCCCTCTCCGTCGGGTTGTCTTGGTATGTCTTGGCTTGTTTGCTGAGACTATGATACGTCCCTGACCCCCCAAACCAAAGGGCCCTTAAGACGATGATTAGACAACAAACATCGGCACTAAGTAAGCTTTCGAGGAATCAGTTTACCTTCCGCGGTTCCGTGAACAGCGTCGTCAACATTAGCAAACGTGCTATGCCCGACCGAGGTTAAAGACCGTGCAATAGACCATGGGGCTGTAAACCATCAATCAATACGCACTCACAGCGCACCGCGGTTCCAAGTATGTTCTCTAGCGGCGTCTAGCGGGCTACATCAGGAACACGACTAGCTAGGACGGTTGCTGCTCGTCAGTATCCGTCGGGTTAAGTGCATGGTGCCGAGCTGGCGGTTGTTGCTTCGGGAGGCATTTTTCCTCTAGGTCCATGGGTTCTCCCAGGGTGGTTTCGTAATGTTTCGTAGCACTCAAAGTCCAGATTCTTCTGTTCTGCGAGATGGGCCCACTTGAGCCACTTCTTCGTCTGCACCACTCTTCCAGCAGCCAGAGTGTACCCCAGGGGGGCGGGGGGGAACGGGGGGAAGGAACTAAGGGGGGGGGTACAGGTTTGGGTTCGAGGATGTTCGAGGGGGTTCGGGTTCGGGTTTGGGTGGGTTCGGGTGGGTAAGGGTTAGGGTTCGGGTTCGGCCTTCCTTCCTTCATTCTTTCCCACCCTTGCTTTCTGTTTCCATAGTTCAAGCGAAAAGTATTTTTGTGATGCGCAAGCTTCTTTTGGTACAAAGTCCTTCCTTCTTCCTTTCCCACACTCTTGCCTTCTGTGTCTATATTTCGAGTGAGTTCGGTCTGGAGTTCAGGTTCGGGGTTTATTTCCGAGCTCCGGCACGGTCAGTCTTTCGTTCGAACTCGGGATTCGTTTCAGGTCTCGGGCGTCTCGGTTGGAGGGCGAACGCGTGGTCCCGCGTTCAGTGTAAAGTTCAGGTTCGGGATTCGGTTCAGGTGGGCGAATTCGGTTCAGGGTCTGGGTCAGGGTGCCAAGTTCGGTCTTAGGGTTCAGGGTTCGGTTCAGGGCTCGGGCAAGGTCGCCGGGCTCCGTCTTTTTGAGTTCGGCTTCGGAGTTTGTTCGAGGGCAGGCGGCAAATGGTCCTATGTTCAGTCTGGAGTTCAGGTTCGCGGTTCGGTTCAGGGTTCGGGCCTCGAGTTCGATCTGGAGTTCGGGTTCGGGGTTCGGTTTCGAGTTCGTTCTGGAGTTCGGGTTCAAGATTCGGTTCAGGGTTCGGGCCCCGAGTTCAGTCTGTCGTTCAGGCTCGGGGTTTGGTTCAGGGTTCGGGTGAGGGTTCCGGTTGGGGTACGTAATGCCAACAGCGGCAAGTGGCCGCTAGATACCTCTCTGTTTCTCTCACTCTGCCCCGCTCTCAGTCTCAGTAGAAAGCGGATTGCAAATGGAACTTCCGAGCTGACTATATGGAACGGCGGGCTGCAGGCGCAAGCAGAAGGACAGACTTCCAGAAAGGACTGTGAGAAGACTTCACCAGCCCGCCCCTTCAATCAACCGCTGCTGAAAATCTGGCATCTTTGAAAATGTGGATGCAGAATGCCTTCAGCAGAACACACGCACGATGACACTCTCTGTAATGCTCCAAGCCTAGTCTCGGGACAAAAACTTCAAGCACATTGTGCCATCGTGAGGACACAAGCACGCATTTTAGCATGCAGTTTCAAAGTCGCTTATTGATTCAGTTGGCTAAGGGCCTCTGCAGCCGCTGGTTGCATAGTCCCTGCGATCTGATAGAACAACTTGGGTATAGAGCAAAAAAGTCAGCGTGTTAAGCCGCTAATCTAGGAAAGTCTTGTTGAACTTGAAGAGTTCCAGCCACCAAGAGCCTGCTCCGAAGAGGCTGAGGGGAATGGCCAGGAGTGCTGGGATGTCCGCAAGGTGGTCTGCCTGCTAAAGCTCCCCTGAGCTCAAAGCTTTCATGGCGCACAACACAACATAACACAACCATACAGCAACATTTGAAGATGTCCGGGGCCAAATAGCTTGACTAAAAACACCGCCCCATCCAGCCAGGTATGCAGTCGAAGGCCAGTCACCATTGAGCTCGGGCTGCCAAGGCCTGGTCAAACTCACCACCAAATGCACCTCAAGTACCCGCACTCGGAGCGCGAAAAGGAGAGGCTGCAACTCATCCCAGTCGACCAGCTTGTGGTAGTAGAGGATGAGCCAAGGACCCACGCTTGCAAGCACCTGCTGTTCCATCTATGCAAATCGAAAAAACGAGCAGAGCTTTGAGAACCAAGGTGGGGCGCCACATTGAGAGCCAGGGCCAGGTTTCTGTCGACTTTCTTGCGATAAACAAGCGTGGCCAGGAAAACCAGCACCTTGGACGCAGCTCTCACCCTAATACTGGAAGAATTGGCTGCGTTCCAAGAGTACCAGCACCACAGGAGTAGCACGTAGCAACCTTCAACCAATCATTAAAAACCTCGTGTCCAAGGTAAGCAAAAACAATGGTGCACTCCACGAATTGAGTAGCTCGGGCACGGAAATGGTCAAGGAGCCGAAGCAAGGCTTCACAAGCCTCGATAGGTGTTCGGCGCCAAGGTTATTTCTATCAATTTGCATGCCATTGTTGACGGGGACTTCCACGCGTGTAATTGAATCCTAACAAGTACAGCAATGACGAAAACTTGCCACGGCAGCTCAAGCACCCGCACCGCATTCTGGCCAAGTTCCCTGCCCAGTGCGTAAATGGTCGTTCACTGCTGGAATGTTGGCTGCAGACCTGATGCCAACATACTGCTTTGCTTGGACTGGCTACAACTGCGCACATCTTGGCCCAGCACATTGGCACTTTCATGAATTTCTGAAAGGGTCAGGCTACTTGCAATTAGGATAGCCGGCTGGCGAATAAACCTGCGCAACAGCCAGGCTTCCCGAGCTCGCTGCCAGCCCCAGAAGCCGGAAGGCCCGCGCCAGGTGTAGACTGCCTGGAAAGCTGGCCAGGTGGTAACCGGTTTGCAGCTCAACCCGAGGCTGTCAGGCACGTCCAAGCTCAGTCCCAGGCCATGTAGGCATTATCGAAAACAGCTCCCCCAAAGTTGAGGATGGAGTACACCCACTGGCACAATGGCAGCATAGCAGGTCAGGTCAGAGAATTACTAGCGAGTTCCTGAACCTATAGCAACAACGGCCAAAACAACCCTTTGCAGGTGCTGTCCCTGCCACGGGAACAAGAACGGTGGTCAATGAGCACTGCCTGCACTCGCCTAAAGTGAAAACTCTGGCTAACATCTGGGGCACCGACAGTGGGCGTATCATTTTGAATGCCCTTGACCTAGTGCCAGGCCCAAAGAAAAGCGGTGCCGCACCTTCCATACTGCAAGCGAGACGCTCTCCGGCGAGCAGGCTCTTGAATCCTTAGTCATTCAAACAGTCAAACACGGCACCATGCGACATGAGTTGGTCAGTCAGAAGTCAGCTGAGTCTGGCTCGCTGCTGGAACTGTGCCCTCTGGAACAAGGGCAAGAATATTGTCGGAACCTCGAAGTGTTTTCTACAAGCCCTTGGTCTATGCTGGGGCCTTGCAGCACTGTTGCAACCTGTGCTGGTGAGTCGACGCAAGGGTCTACCGGCAACAAGATCCCGAAAAGCAAGCGCTTCAAGAACAACCATCCTTCCAGAAACCGCAACCAAGAATTGGCTACTAGCTACCCCAGACTTGGCCGACCTAAAATACCGCATAGCCTAGGTGTTCGTCGGTTAGTGGGGCCTCTGCTGACTTGGCTGCCGTTTTGCATGCCAGATCCCAGAGGATTCACGGATGGCTTTGCAAACATCACCTTCTAGACACCACCTGAGTGGTACATCAAGACATGCATGAAATGCAAGTTTGTCGTTCGCTCCTGTGTTCCGCTTATTCCCCGTCACGGGTGCCCTCAGCGAGCCTGTTTGCTGCTTGATATGCTTGCTGTTGCCCTGCCAGGCACTGCCAGGTTTGGCTGGTCTGCAGGGATAGAGATTCGGCCGTCGCGAGTTCCAGGCTGTTTTGTTGTGTCTACTCGCGAAGATTGCTGAAGGCACGGGCCCACTACCGGCTGTTAAAGGTCTCTTGCCAGTCGCGTGGTCCTGCCCTCTACCAACAGGGTTCTGAGGCATGAAGCGGGTGACATGGCTGGCCGGACATAGAGGGCGCATCACCCACCTGTTTGCCAATAGAGGAATGCGGGTCGCACTTTGTTCATCACAAGTCATTCGGGCTCATGTTTGAAGTGCTTCCATGTAATATGTGTGGGGGGGGTTGTTGGCGCGCAGCCGTCTACGTTGACTTACAAACCATTGAGGCGTGACGGCGCGAAGCTTCATATCGGCTGGGTTGAAGTCATGCCACGCTTGCAAGGATGGTTTGGAACATGGCAACCGTGAAAGTCATGCGGAAGTATACGAGGTCATTTTTGAAGCGGTGGAGGAAAAAGTGGCAGCAGTGCAAAACAAAGCAGAGTAATGCATCTAGCAAGTGGCCACTTGCAAGCCCTTGGCCAGCCTGGAAAGTGTCGCTGATTTACCTTCATTCAAAAGGGATCATATTTGAAGTGGCATGGCTGTTTGAAGATGGCAGGGGTGTGGGGGGGGGGGTGAGGATCCTTTATTCCTGTCTTCGACGTGCCAACGGCTTCTCGCCATACTTGGTGGGGGTTGGTAAGCTGGGTCCATCCTTCCTGCGTCCTTCCATATACTTTTCACAGGACGTTGAATTTCTTTCAGCCATTTTCAATTTGCTTGCACAGTGTGGGACAGCAGAGTCTAGTGCAGGACAAAAGCAGTCATTCTAGCAACGCTAGGATACTGAAATTGCAGTGTAGCGGTTCGGATACTGGGCTTTCCTGTAGGTAGATGTCTCACGAGCCTCCTCATGAGCATGGTAGCCAGTGAGTCGGGATGATTGCCAAAAACTGATTGCCGAACTTTGGCTGTCATTCCTCAAGCTCGGCTGAACTGATGCACTGGTGGCATTGCTAAGCTTTGTACAATGGAGCCCAAACTTTGGGGCAAACAATCTGTGAGCAACATGGTCACCGCTCGGCATGCTGCACTGCCACCGTAGGAAGTAGCGAACAAAATCCAGGTGTGCGCCAAACACCGCGTGTGCCTGTAGACATTGGCAGGCACAAAAATCTGGTTGCGTTGCTCATGCGGGCGACTCCAGACTTCTGCCACTTTCCGACTGCATCAGCAAACGAAAACCTAAAGTGAATACTCGATCTGTATCCACTATGTACTCATAGCATTTGGGGCCCGTCTCCCAGCAACAGGCGCTGTCACGTTCGTCAGTGAGAGCTTTCCCTATCCTAGAGTCATCTGATGCCGGCTCAGTGGAAGGCATTGCCTGGCAAATGAAGACCTGCATTCCACATGCGTGCCCCGCCCCCGCCCTCCCATGTTAGGATACGTGGAGATATGCAGTAATGCGTCAGTCCTTTTTCTTCAAGGGGTACTACGTGAGCTCTGGTATCTCTGCTCACAGTTGCGGGCTGCCTGCTCTGGCTCCTACAGACCCATTTTCACGCCGCGCAGGGCTTGCTGGTCTTTGCACCAAAGCTTTCGCAAAAAGGTGCGAGTGCAATGAGCTTCTGGCCTGTTATGAGCACGGCGCAAGATACTCATCATGCAGCATGAACCGCAAAGGTTCAAAACTTGCAGAGCTCAAGAGGCACTCGCACCAGCATCTTGCCCGTGTTTGTCCCTCGGAAAAGTCCCAGTATGCCATCTGGCAGGTTTTCAAAACCATCCACGAAACTGGAGCAGTCCGAAATCTTACCCTCGCGCAGCCAAAATGATAGTGTTTCTGATGCCTCTGCATGTGCCTCTGGAGGAAAGAAGCCCACAATAAACCCTTCCACGCGCAAGCGCTTGGCAACCACCTGAAACAGGTTCCGCACACCATAGCGTTGCTCTGGCTGTGTGTCATACTGCGAGATCGCACCGCACAAAGTGACGGAGCCTGTGTCGTTCATCATCTCAAGGACAGCTTCGAGGGTCTCCCCACCGACGTTGTCAAAGCATACATTCAGGCCAGTGGGGGCTAGACGCTGCAACGCAGGAAGCACACTTTCCTCGCGGTAGCTGAACGCCTCAAATCCCATCGATTGTAAGTATTTGACCTTCTCAGCGGAGCCTGCACTGCCAATCACGCGGCATCCCATCTGCCTGAGGGTGTGGCACGCTATCAAGCCTGTGGCTCCTGCTGCCCCAGACACATAGGCTACATCGCCAGCCTGTGGCCTGGTCACGTGTTTCACCCCGAGGTATGCGGTCAATGCGGTGAGTGCCAAACAGGAGAACGCTGCTGAGGGTGACACACCTTCCGGCATCTTCTGCAGGGCTTCTGCACTCACTGCGTTGATTTCGCGCCATGGCGCCTGAGCGAAGACCATCTCCCCCTTGGAGAAGCCGGCGGCCTTGGACTCCAACACCAGGCCTGCAATCCTCCAGGTGATCACAGAACCAGGCGTCCAGTTCATCATCTTGTAGTACGCGGAGCCTTCAGTTCGCCCAGCTGCCTCCTCACCCGCCATGGCATTTCTCATTGTGGGATCCATGCTCATCAGGTGCGTGGCAAGGAGAACCTCTGACACAGATATGCAGCGTGTATGCACATGAGACATGAGCTGAGCTCAGCCTGCAACAGCGTCTAGGCTACTTCACTCACACTTTAACAGCATCGAAGAACCTCACCCTCCTGACACTCCGGGATGGCACATTCACGGAGCTCCAGGTCGCTGGGCTTGAATCCATCTGGCCCAGGCCTTTACGAGTCGCTGTTCACTGCCCACTTTGCGCCTTTACAATTTGACGCACCCTGAAACATGCTGCCAAGCAAGCGACGCCTCTGCCTCAGGATCCACTCGCGATTCTTTCTCGTGGATTCCATCGCCCGGACAGTCGAGGCTACTCCAGGCCAGACTGGTGCAGCTACTTCGTAGTATCAACGAAATGGAAGGGAAGTCATGTGCGTCTTAGACAACAGGGTTACTTCTCCACATTGAAGCATTGCCAAAGCAGCTCAAACTTCTATGGGCCCTAACAGCCTGGCGACTTTCAATCGTGCGGCTTGACATGTCAAAATCAATGTCATGCATGCTGAGCAGATGAGTCACTGCCAGCTTTACAAACTGCTGCAAGGCCTCGTTCGTCACTGGCGACTCTCCAGCAGCGATCCTTTTTTTGTGGCTGCGAACTGTACTTGCTGTTCACGACAAAGATCATGAGTCACTGAAATAGGACTGTGGTTAGGGGTGGTTACGACGAATCTTGGTGTCAGAGACACAACACTCGAAGCACCTTGATGAGCCATCGTGCTTTGTTGGCCAGGAAGATCGCAACCTGTGGGGCAGAGACATCCTTCTGATAGCATGTTGGAACTTCCAACGTGCGTGCATTTGCAGCCATGCAGTTGAGGAGATGCATGACATGTTGGGAAACCTTGGGTCACATTGTTTTTGCCGGACAAATTCTAAGCCTCATGCTTGATGCACTCCGGAACCCTCCAAAGGACTCCAATGTAAGGAATCAAAAATCATGGTGGACTGGCTGTTTCAGTGGCCTCCTCAGCCGCAAAGGCAGGACTCGCGCCTACCTGGTAAGGGAAGGCGAAGGAATAGACGGCACTGGGCCGCTTGCTGTCACTGTTTCTGGGGCTGGCATCCCTAGAAAGCTTTGGCGTATAAGCGGACATGACAATTGTCAGCCAAGATAAGCGGTGAAGAAGATTTCCTTCACTGATTTGCCCTGCGGAGGGTGCGCAGGCTAGATAGACGCTGCCTGGTTCGCGGGCATCGAATACCTGCCACTTATTTAGCAGGCTGGCTTGCCAGAAATGACTCCGATCAAGCCCAACCGAATCTGAACTCATGTTTGTGGCAAGGCACAGGTGCAGGTGCATAGGCTCCATCCGCCAGGTCTTGTGCGGTCCGCGGTAGAGGCAAAGACTAGCGAGGACGTTGCAGTCCTTGCCTGGATGCACAGAAGCTTCTTCAGAGGCGCTGTTCGTGTGGGCATGACGCATCCACCACAAGCTTTTCAGTGCCCCTGAGCCAGATTTAGCCATGCGGCAGACAGCTCCCTGGCGGTACCTGAGCTCAGGATACAGAAGCCGGCAGCCCCTTTCAACTCGCACCCTTCCTGTCTCAATCCAAGGATCTTGAATATCATCTCCTGGCTTCCAGCTGGATAAAGGGCCAGAGTCATCTCCTGCATCGTGGAGTCGGGAACAAGAAGCCTCTGTAAGGAGGACCAAACTCACTCGCTCAAGCACGGACCTCAAATTGTTGGAGCACCTCATCCGAAGCAAATGCAAGGCCGTCGTCTGTTCCCACCTGCAGCACGAGAAGAAGCAGATACCCTGGCTGTTAAGCGTTGTGTTGCTGAGGCTGTCGCCAGTGCAATAATGCACGCAAATACGTCCTCTGCAAGGCTGCCAAGATCTAAGAAAACGCTGTCTCCGAGCAGCGTGTCCAGTTGTTCCTGCAAACTCGATTGACAATCCAGACTGCAGAATGATCTGTCTTAACAATGTTTCGCATCCAAGTCTACCTTTCTATCCCTTGACCTGGTCATCAACAGAGACTGTAGGTGCCTCGCAGGCAAGTTTCAAAATCTTGCCTGCTGCGTGCAAGAAAGAAATGCAAACACTGCAGTACATTGCCCTTTCAAGGCTGCAATTTTGCGACTTCTGCTCGCCTGAGAGAGCTTTGGGCTACATGCCCTGTACCTGAGCCCAACACCGTACATGCAACTCGACGCAATATTGATTGTGCGCAAGAATCTGTACCAAGGAGAGACTAGTTGAAAATGCCATGGTGCCGGATGCCTGCAACAGGACCGCTTCCTGCTTTGGTGGACAGGCACCCAGGCTCGCGTTCAACATCTTGGCATGTTGATTCTTGCCGCGCCGCACCTTCCCAAACATGCTGAAGATACTTGCCCTCCTTGTTCATCAGCAGGCCGATGCATTTCAGATCTCCTGAAGTCAGCAAGGGGCAGGATTGTGCATCATCACTGCTAGTCGGCTTTGTCCCTGTATCCTTGTCCCTTCCAGAAAAGTTTCCTCAGGAGCTCATTTGCAGCATGACTGAATGCTCTCAATGCTCCGAAACTGGGTCAGGCATCAAGTAAAAGTCTGAGAAGCAAATCGAGAGCTTCCACGTTGGCCCTGCCAGAAAGGCCCACCACCTTTGCCAATGTCTGAACCGGCAAGGCTAGACAGGCAATTTGCTCCGCAGGTTGATCTTGCTGGCTGAGGTGCTCGGTCAGGCATTGTTCCTAGCAGCTCCTGCAGGCGAGATCTTGACCAGAACCAACACCAGTTGCGAGGACTTGCCTCAATCTTGAGCCCCTGGCCCAAGCTAAAGCGGCTTCAGAGGGCAAACAGACACTGGCTCCGCAGGCCTTATCCTCATCTTGAGCGTGCGAATTCACAGGGAAAAGCCTCAGAGGATAACGTTGGTGCCGAGGTAGAACAGCAGCCGGCAGGTTGACTTTTTGCAGTGTCAGGGAGGTCCAAGAAGAAAACATGGGGCTCATTTGCGCAAGCTAATCAGATCTGCAGTAAACTTGCCATGAATCTTTGAAAGGCCTGGATATAGTGAGCACAGCCAAGTGCCTGCAAAACAAGGAGCCAAGGGCTGTTGCCGTCATTGCTCCGAAGCCCGAGCGGGGCACGAAGCAACTTAAGAAGCCCCTGCCACATCGACCTGCAGGCCTGGGCAGTGTGAAGCTGTGCTATGCTGTGCTCACTCCAACATCGTGGTAACCTACAGGTCAATTTAACTGCTGGCCTGACATGCTGCTGTCTTTTCGCCGCCCACCATGCCAGGATGAGCCAGTGTATTCAAGGAGGTCTGCCTTCATGTTCTCGGCTGCTTGTGCTCTGCAGTACAAGATGAGGGAGAGAAAGAAAGAGAGAGAAAGAGAGAGTGTGTGTGTGTGACTTGGCTTGACCTGCGAACCAAAAAGAATGTCTGCATTCCTTGCACGCACAAGCACGTTAGCACAAGAGAGGTCTTTCAGTCATTCTAGCTCAAGCACCCTTCACGGCGACGCCCCAATGGAACTAATGGATCCTTAGCCCGGAGCTCTCGAAAAGCTTCTTCACACTCCAGAACCAGTATGGCATGACCTGATCAGCTTTACAGCGACCCTTAGCAGCTTCGGCATGGAAGGTTGCGAGGCTCCGAACCACCCAGTAGAGCCATGGGTACTGATAGGACCAGGCCTCAGCGCCAAGCTCTCGACACCAAGGCTATTTGCCAAGACAAGCGATGCAGACCCCGCAGAACTGGCGTCCGAGGTTGACGCTATGGCATGGATGCCTTGGAAAGAAATGATGAATGAGTACGCAAGCTTGAAGAGCACCCTCTGCACCTGCCAAATATAGGGAAAATCCTGGAGTCTGCAGTCTGCATGAATGAGCACAGGAGGTCGTGCTCAGCGACGCGCTGGTGAGCCCAAGTTGGGAAGATTGAAGACGTCTTAACAGGTAACATTGCTTAAGAGGTGCCTGGGCCCACCTGTGCAAGGCAAGTCGCTGTGCTTCAGCAGCTATTGGGACGTGGGCGTCCGAGGTTGCACATCAGGGGTCTCATCGCATCTGCCCGAACCACTCCGCACCCCCGTTAACCCTCAATAATTTTTGCAAGCCCAAGCCGATCAGGACCTCGAGGCACTGTTGGTCTCGCATGGCAAGTCAAGGGCAGAACAGACCCCTTGGCAGTGACCCAACTGCCTGGAAACTCAAGGTCTTGACCGGCTTGGCACGGGAGGGCTTAGTCGCTCTGAGGCACCAGCTCTATCGAGCAAGTTTTCTTCGTAACTCTTAGAACTGCACTACCGCACCGCTTGGCTTCAGCTCCATGTCCGTCTAGTGTAAGCAAACAGCCGCAGGACAAGAGGAACAGGCAACCTACCTCCGGCCCGCGGAAGTACTTGAGCAAAGGCCACATGGTGATGTTGTTGACCTCCATTCCCAGCTTTGCAAAGTCAACGCCAACAAGGGCTTCAGACGCAGCCGATAAAGACAGCTAGGGTCGCCATGAAAATGATCCAAGTGGAGATTGCCCACAGAACGCCTGGAACGCAGTCTGGCAGGGACAAGTCTGCACAAAGCTCTTCGTGAGGGCCTAAAGCTTGCAAAGGTCTTTGCCTGGTGATTCGCGTAGACAACGCTCCTGCGTCAAGAAATTGGCTGACATCAAAAACCTTGCCGCGTTCCTCGTGATAGGTATAGCATGTCCTCAATGATAGCATAGAGAACAACGCCAATCTGCATGGCACCCGTCCTCACAGGAGCGACCAAGACTCGGACTATAGCCCGGCAAAACGGACAGCTGAGTTGGCAACGCCGTGTGCATGAAGCCACCTCTGTTGTAGAGCAGCTTTCTTGGGCAAACTCCTCTAACCGTGAGTGTGCAGGTGAGGTGCTAAAAGAATTCGACTTCCGCTTCAGGAACGCCATCTGGACAAGCGAAAAGACGGATACCTTATTTGAAGAAGCAAGTCTGCAAACGGCACGCAATTCACGACATCCTGCCGTGAACCAGTGTCTAGTAGCTTTTCCTGCCTGGCTATATGAATCAATACCCAGAAAATTAATGGACATGGGTTCCTTACTAGGGACTGTATTGCGGACTATGCTACAAAATGGGCCCCTATGTCCGCTGCCACGTGTCCCTTCTTCAGGTAGGGGCACATGTCAGACATGTAATGGCCTTCAGCCTTGAAGCTCTTGAGAACCTGTTGCGGCACTGATAGGAAGCACCTGCTTGACGACGTCTTACTTCGTGCAGTCCATTTGACTGAAGCTTTGGATGAGAATATCCTACAAAACCATGGTCTTCTGTAGAAAGGGCGGAAGCCATGCGTCGTGACTTTCAATTTCTCAAGCTCGAGGAGACATATCTGAAGTGGTCCGGTCCCACTCGGCATGGTTACGGCATACTACGACTACGACTGCCCAACGGCTCAACAGCTTAATGTCGTGAAGCCAAGATACCGCTGAGAGAAGGCCCATGAAGCTGTCCTATGCTTGAAGGGGATTGTTCATTATTTGGAACCTACTTAATACTTGTATATACTTGTACTTGCGACCACTTAGGGCAGACGTCGGCGAGGGTTTTAGACGGGCTTAGAATCCTCAAAAGCTCCGACGACAAGAGCAGTGCTGGGCAAGAAGGGGCCAGCACAAGCCCGTGATTTATACTCTGATTCATGTAGTTGAGCAAGGAGACGCATGCTAGAGACTTGGAATTTTCCAATTGCCATTCGGGGCTTAGTAGAGCTGGCAGTGGTCACCTGAGCTGCACCGATATCAGCCTCAGATAGCCTCAGGATCCTCCGTGCTGACGGATCCGGGCTTGGCACTGGCGATGCATGCAAGACTGAACGTCAGTCAAATTTGTGGACAGCATTAGTTGGCCGTCTTTTCAAAACTTATCAACATGCAACCCAATCCAAGGAAGGCCCTGCGGTTTGCGTCGGCACTGACGATTTGAAAGCGGCCTTTTTTTGTAGTGTTTCCCTCTTACACCCTTTCCTGCAAAACAATGTGCGGAAAACCGGAAGGCAAATGCAGGCCCACATTGCTATAGCGTGTAGTCGTTTGGGCTCATGAGCTTGCCGTTTCCTTTGCAGGACCTGTTATAGTTTAGTCCCCTCGGTTAAGTGTCAGGTTGTGAAGTCAACCCTTTTTTGCACTGTGCCTGCACTCCTGCTGCGGCTGGCACTGGCACCGATTCTAATACCAGCCTTCCCTGTAAGCTAATACCAGGACCATATTTAGTGTCTCCAGCAGGTCGACTGCTCTTGGGGCCAGTCCTCGATCACACCGCCCACGCCAGGCGCGTGGTTGGCAGAGAGTCCAGCCCAAACATCCTTCAATCCAGCCAGAACAAGTGGAAACGCTACCTTTCTGGCGTTACCGAAGTTTATCGTTTCAAGTCAAGTAAGTCCTGGCCCCATTTCTCCACAGACATCAGCCAGGTCCCAAAGACTCCGGTGGCTTCAGTGGCCTGCAAGCAAAATGTTTGGATGATGCAGTGTACCCGCTACACACCGCAGGCGCCGATTTACAAATGCGGTGCAGAAAACGCACTGCTGGTAAGTGACATGTCAAATTAGCACATTCGGTCGTTTCGAAAGAAGGCTACCACTGCAACTTGCGCGCTTCCGCCAAGCAGCGACCGCTCTAGACCTGCTTGACACTAGTGTAGCCGCCAGTGGCCAAACAATTGAAGCACATCTGGACAGCAGGCAGTGGGGCCAACCATACAGGACAGGACTGGACTGCGCGACATGTTAGAAAGGCAAACGTCAGGAAATGTGAGGGATCAATCGAGAGACATAACGTGGACTTCAGCAACGCAGCACTTGTTACTTGACCGGTCTTCTGCGCCCCTTTGGTCTTCTTACTGCATCAGAGCTCGCAGCCGCGCTGGCTGCATTCTCTCCTTGGCTGGCAGGACGTCGGCTAAGTACACTCAGCAATGTGGTCACCCACTGTGCGCCGGCATTGATGCATGTAGTTTTTGTTCAGTAAAAACTACAGCCGGTGAACACTCCCGAGCAGTGGAGCCGTTGCCAAAGCAGACGCTTGAAACAGCCAAATGGCTACACCTAGACCATGTATCGCTGCTTCATTCTCGCCAGGTTGCTCTCTGCTTTCAAGCCCCGGATCTTGTTGGCAATGGCCGCAGATTTCTTCCGTCGGGAGTCGTTTGCTTGCTCCTGGCTCCATCTGATCTGTTTTTTTTTTTTTTTTTTTCCGAGCATGCATCAGAAACACCAATCAGTCACTAACTAACATTATCTCGCCATTTTGCGGCTTCGTGGTTCTTCCGATCTGATAGAATGTACAGTCTAGTACAAACACCATATCTTGCCCCCGGCGTGTGCCAGTGGTATACCTTGCTCTGCCCACAGGCCGTCAACTGCGCGCAGGTCGCAGGTCCTCCTCCTGCTCTTCCAGTTCCTCTTTGTCCTCTGTGCCCAGGCTGCGCCGCCACACGTCATAGCGCGCCTGCGTTCTCAGCAAACCCCCTTGAAGAGTGAGTGCCCCATATCATAGTCGTCGAAACAATCTGCGCAGTCATTGTCGAATAAAATATGCTCATTTTTCCCAGGTTCTGGCTGCGGATTCGCTGGAAACATCGCTATGTATCGCTATGTATAATGAAGGGGTTTAACGGCGTTGGCATCCTGGATGAGAAAGCCACTCCTCGTCTTCGCTGTGGTGCTGATAAGATTACTTCCAAGATCACGAGCAAGCATACCCAAACCATAATAGCATTTCCAGCGCATCCATACCCAAACCAGGACAACATTCACCCCAAAAGCATAGGGTGGCCAAAGGACCATCCTAAAGCATTGCCCGACTTGCTGTCGACCCACCGCTATGACAAGGGCTTGCTTCCTGAATCTTGAGGCGGAAGGGTAGAAAAGGCACTGGATCACGTATATTGAGACAGAACCGAACCGAAGCCCCGCAATTATGGCAATACATCGATCGCCAAATATCGTATGCGTAGTGGTATCGTCCGAACCGCCCAATTACAGCGGCTACATTTGAATACCAGAATGGTTACCAAAAGTTATAGTGGTAATGATGGTGGTAGCGAGTGACACCTTAGGTAGGAAATTTTACGTTCACCCCGTTGCCATCTTTGCAATTCAATGACCAGTTTGAAGGAAATTTCAGGTAGAGACAAAAGTATATGTGTAAAATTCACCTATTGTTAGTAGCAATAGTAGCAGCAGCAGCAGCAGCATTAACAGCAGCAGCAGCAATTGTAGCAGGCACCCTGCCTGACAATCCTCACTTCCGTGGAATTCGTCAAGTGTGGGGGATGCAGGGCGGGGTTCTGGGCGAGCAGCTACGACCTTTCTGCTCAAGCAGTGTGCCATGGCAACCTCGCATAAGGCTCACTGCTGCTGTGCTTGAAGAGCACAATTTCACCGTGTGGAAACTTGAAGAAAAATAGGGGCCAAACGAAATCCTCAGGAAACGTACGGGCATCAACTGATAAAGCTTAAATCCGAAATCCTTAAGAAAAGTAGGGCCTCAACTAGTGAAAACACACAAGACAAAATCTTCAGGAAAAGTAGGACAGGTGAAGGTTTAATCCACAAAGCCTAAGGAGCCTCAACTGGTGAAAACTTACCAATGAAAATCCCTGGGAAAAGCAGGTGCGTCAACTGGTCACGACTTGAACCCCAAATCATCAGGAGAATGAAAACTTAGTTCAGAACTTTACGTACCCCTGGACGACTTAGGTGCTTCAGGGCTCTGCCAATTATTTTGCATAGTTGAAGATTTTCCCAGATTAATTAAGAATTTTCAGATAACTAGTTACTGGTGTATGAAATTCATCATTGCTTATGAAAAATTTGGGATTGAAGATATGAAAGCCAGCATTGCATTTGTGAATGCTACTTTTTTTGAAAAGGCATGACCATGGTAAAGGGATCAGCCAGCAACAAATAAAGGAAACATGTGTGCAAGTATGATACTTTGCTGCTTGAGCATGTGCTAATTGCAACCATGGCTTGGAAAAGCTTGTTATTCTGGTCTAACTTGGGTTTTACAGTTTGGAGAACTAACCTTGGGCTACTGGGCGAAGCTTTGATTAATGGGACAATGAAAAATCAGGTCCAGAACTCCTCGCACCCTTGGACCATTGGAGCTAACCTCGGGCTACTGGGCCGAAGCTTGGGTTAATTCATGGGAGAAAAATAGTTCAGAACTCCTCTCATCTTCGCATGAAAAAAAAAAGCTGTCAGCAGCGGAAGTAAACAGCGCCCCCCTCATCCCAGAAAATCCAAAATCGGTCCGAAAGCAATGTAAAACGTACGCGAAGTCAGGAACACACTGTCAAATGCGTAACGATCCCTTAATAGCAGCAGCAGCAGCAGCAGCAGCAGCAGCAGGAGTAGTAGTAGTAGTAGTAGTAGTAGTAGTAGTAGCAGTCGTAGCAGCAGCAGTAGTAGTTAGTAGTTAGTGGTAGGTAGTAGTTGATAGATAGTAGGTAGTGGTTAGCAGTAAGGTAAATGGTAAGTGGTAAGTAGCAAGTAGCGAATAGCAAATAGCAGGTAGTAAGTAGCAAGTAGCAAGCAGCAAGCAGTAATCAGTGAGCAGTAAGTAGCAAGTAGCAAGCAGCAAGTAGTAAGTAGTGAGTAGTAAGTGGTAAGATTGGCAAGTAATAACTAGTAAGTAGTAGGTAGTAAGGGCTTGTCGCGTAGTTGACGGTAGGGTTGTCAGCAAGATCGCATTCGATCACGTTGGCGGGCGCATTGTTTTGTAATAACTAGTAAGTAGTAGGTAGTAAGGGCTTGTCGCGTAGTTGACGGTAGGGTTGTCAGCAAAATCGCATTCGATCACGTTGGCGGGCGCATTGTTTTGTGTACGGTTTAAATTTGTCGCCAGGGCGGCTGACCATGGTCCTTGCCGCACATTCGGTCGGCTTTCAGCTACCTTTTTGGAGTGGCAACAAAAAATTCGAAACTAAAAGTAGGGGCCTCACATGTTGCAGACTAGCCACCAAAAATCCTTAGTAAAAACTGGGGGTCCCAAACGCTTCAGACTGCCGATCACAAATCCGGAATTAAAGTAGGGGCTCCAGATTTTGCAAGCTGGCAGCCAAAAATCCAAAATAAAAGCTGGCAGCCAACAATCCGGAGTAAAGTAGGGCCCCCGACTGCTGCAGAGTGGCAACCGAAGAATCCAGACTAAAAATCAATACTACTGGGCTGTACCCTGGACTTATGGGGCGACTTCAAATCTAAATCAGAACTCCTCACACTCACACCCTTTGGACTAATCGGGCCTGCCATGGACTACTGGGGCGTACCCTGGCCACACCCTTAAAATGCTGTAAACGGCGTGCCCTGGACTACTGGGCCGCACACTGGACTTTAAATCAGAACTACTGGGGCGTACCTTGGACTACTGGGTCAGCTATAATTTCGAACCAAGAAATCCTCACACCCGTGGCTTAATGGGACGTACCCTGGACTCGCAGTAAAACAAAGTCTTCCGACGTAAGAAACATTTCTGTAAACAGAAGAAGCAAAAAGACCAGCAAGCCGACCCCAAAAACATCCCAAAATGACCACGACCAAAAAGCGACATTGAAGTAAAGAACAATGCACCGTCACACACACACACACACACAACAGTTGTTCGTCGTCTTCGCCGCCGCCGCTGCCGCCGTCGACGCTGTAATAATCGTAGTAGCGGCCGTAGTCGCAGTAGTCCTATAGTCGACGTAATCGTAATCGTAAACGTAGTCGTCAGACGTAGTCGGACTTATAGCAGCAGCAGCAGCAGCAGGAGGAGGAGGAGGAGGAGTAGTAGTAGTAGTAGGCGCCCCCCCCTCCCTACCAACCATGTTTCCCAGATTGCGCATGTTGAAACCAGGGAAAAAGCGAGGAAATACTCGCTTTCGTGGAATGCCAACAGGCATTATAATTTTGCGATGCGTGTGGATGCCGGGAGGCGGGGTGGGGTGGGGTAGGGTGAGGAGTGGAGGGAGGGGGTGGCTGGGGGCATAGTGACGTCAATTCGAAGAGCGCGCATGCACAAACTATTGGCATTTGCAGCATCTTTGATGATTTTGCGTGGGTGAGGCACGTTCCACTACGACCCTCTTCCCTTCGGGCTCTTGACAGCCCATCTCTGACATTTAAGGATATTTAAGGGAACATAGTTGGTGGGGGGGGGG